GGTTGGGATAGGCGAGAGAGGCTAGATGTATGCCAGGATGTATATACGTCTAATACATCATCATGTAGAAAAAGGGGACCTGCAAGGGACAAACAGTGGGCTCTGGACAGTAAGTGCAGCATTTGTAACAATCTTCCCTCTCCTCCCATAGGCCTGATTTGAGGCAGGATGGAAGGGCAATTTTATTATATGCTATGGTTTAAGAGCTGCATTTAGATGGAGACCCTCCTTTAACCACTAGAAAACCTTAATTATAAGCTGAGCTCTCTTTTACTACACATGCAATGGCAGTCCCTAAAGTGCACTGGAGCAACACACAGCTATATGCCACTTCATAACAGATAAGTTTTCACTGCATCTGAGCTCACTATATAAAAGTTCTATTGTATAAAGTTTTGTGTTGCCAGTTAAGTGCTTTGGGATTGGGGGGGGGGGAATATATAAATGTAAAAGAAACGTCCCAAGACAAGGTTCTTTGAGAAGATGTGATATCTTTTATTAGACCAACTGAGTAGCTGGAAAAAAGTTTTTAGCAAGCTTTGAAGCGCAAATCACCCTTTTTGCACGCAGCAGCCCGCTAAGAACTTTCTTCAAACTACTCAGTTGGTCTAACAAAAGAGATCACATCTACTCAAAAGAACCGTGCCTGCCTATGTCCTTAGACCAGGGGTGGGCAATTATTTTGGGCGGAGGGCCGCTTACTGAGTTTTGGCAAGCCATCGAGGGCCACATGATAGGCAGCCAGGGGCAGATAAATATTAATTTTCTGAATTTTTAGGGGCCCCGCGGGCTGGATAGAATGGCTTGGCTGGCTGCATCTGGCTCCCGGGCCGCATTTTGCCCACCCCTGCCTTAGACCAACACGACTACAACCAAATAACAAAGGAAATGTCCCACTAATTTATAAGACAACAACACTTTCTAGTCCTCAAATATAATAAGTGCACAAAAATTTGGAGGGAAAATATTCCATGTTCATTTTCAACATCCTCAAATTTCTCAACTGTGTTGCTCTGCAGGTCAATGTCCTAACCTGGGAAAGGCTGAAAGCCCCAACAGGGACCCAAAAAAAACAGGAGGCGGCTGAGAAAGCAGTATAAACTTGCATCTACAGTGCCATGTACCACAGAAGTGATGTGATCTTGTGTGCGAGAGCCACATGTCCTAATGCAACTCTGATGTACCTGGCCACATGTGCAAGTCATGTATACAATAGTGCAGGTGTGTCAGGCAGTCGGCATTATGCCAAACCTATGCCTTTCTACTTTCTCCTCAGCAATGCACACATATAGCCCGTCAGCACAGGGATACTGTAGATATGGGCACAACACGGTGGTTAAGAATTTCACTCTCTTAAATCCTGAAGTAGGACTTTATTAGAAGGGAAAGCAGTATTACTCTTCAAGTGAATCACCCTAACCACCTCCAGCTTCACAGCAGGGTTTCTGACTGAACGTCTCGACATCTGAACATCTACAGCTAAAGAAACCATTGACACTGGGTTCTTCCCTTGCCCTTGTTTGTTTCATTTTCTCACATTGTACAACATAAAATCTTTAAGAAAAGGAAGCTGAGCTCTCTCAGTAACTACATCTTAAAACAGCTAGGGTTTTATGAAAAACGCTCATGATCAAAATCAAAAAACTTTTACCTGTGACAATATTACACAAAATATTCAGTGACTGGGAACTACTCATCTAGATGCTACGTTCACTAAGAATAAAACAAAACAAAAACATTACCAATATAATAAAAAAAATACAACAACAAAAAAAATTAAAGGAATCAGTCTATATGAAAGGCTAGAATCTACTTTCTCCAAACTGGGTAAGAGTCAGTTCTGTTATATTTAAAAAATGATCCTGACCACAGAGCCAGGCAAGTACACCACTCATATACTTCTGTGACCTCCACTGGGGTATTCGTATTGCATTAAAAGCACCAACGATACAACTACATGAGGGTGTTCTCACCTTTAATACAACAGTCCTATCTTGAGCTGATCTGACAAGCGAGAACAGTGCATAGCAGGACTTCCAAAACTTGCTGGTCTCCTTTCAACTAGAGCAGAGATGTTCAACCTGTGGCACTGATGCCACAAATGACATGGGCAGCCTCCGTGTGTGGCACATGGCAGACTGGGGATGAGATGGGCAGCACAGTGGCAGATCGGACAGGAAGCAGAAAGGAGAGCATCAGATCAAGCAGTGAGCCCTGGGCAGGAAGCAGACGGCAGAGCAGCAGATTGGTCAGGAAACATAAGGCAGAGAGCAGAAAGCAGCGAAGTAGACTAGGCAGGGAAAGCCATCGGAGTAGCACTCACCCTGCACACACCGTCCCCTCATTTGTATTTCTCACTAGAGTAACTGCATCTGTTCTAGTGTAACAATCTTGCCATCAGGAAAGCAAATTTTCCAAATTCTTAACCTTCTGTTTTATACCTGCCATGAAAATAAAATAAAAATCATACCCTTTCTGATGGGCACAGCCTGGCTATAAGAGAGGGTCACATGGCATGACAATCTTCGCCAAACAAAATTGCAGACAGTAATTGATGCTTTCTATCTGACTATGAATTGGCAAGAAATATCAATTGTCAAAATATACAGCTTATGTCAGAGGTCACTACGCAAGGTACACTTTTCCACATCTGTCCTGTGGACTCTGTGCTAACAGTTAAGTAAAATTTGCTAATGCCATGGCCCTTAAAGCACTATATGCGAGTCAATGCTTCAAAAAGTCAATGTGTCAGTATATGTCCAGCATGCAGAGGACACCACCAAAGATAACAGAACTTTGTCATGGTGAGAACTAATGCTCTAATTCAATAGTAGCTAAACTTTATGGCTGGCATGCCACAAGTTAAGCCTCAACCCTTCCTGAGTGCCACTCAATGGACGAGTCAGCGAGTGAAGAAATCCCTGCACCATTAGGATGTAATATCCTCTCTCTGATGGGCTCTGTTTTTTTTTTTAAAGCAATGGAGTCCTCCCATTTCCCCTGCTGCTACTATTTTCTTCTAAAAGTGAACAACAAACAAACAATCCAACACATGCAGAGAAACCACAGGATGTTTATGACAATGCTTCTGTAGCTCATTATCTTCTGCATTCAGAGCTTAAATTTAAACTAGTTCAGCATTGGTTAAGAACAAGTGTGGGCATTTTGCCCTGAAATAAACTATTCCTTTATTTTCCATCTCCTAGCAAGTTCCATGTCTCAAATTAATTATAGAATAATAGAAAATAAGGGCTGGAAGGGACCTCAGGAGGTCATCTAATCTAACCCTCTGCTCAAAGCAGGACCAGCCCCAATTACATCATCCCAGCCAAAGCTTTGTCTAACCAGGTCTTGAAAACCTCCAGGGATGGAGCTTCCACCACCTCTCTGGGCAGCCTGTTCCAGTGTTTTACTACCTTCCCAGTGAGAAAGTTTTTTCCTAATATCTAACCTAAACTTCCCTTGCTGCAACTTGAGACCATTGGTCCTTCTTGTCATCTGCCACTGATAAGAAGAGTCCAGCTCCATCCTCTTTCAAACCCCACTTCTGGTAGTTGAAGGCTACTAATAAATCCTCTCTTAGTCTTCTCTTCTCAAGATTAAATAAGCCCAGTTCCTTCAGCCTCTCCTCCTAAGCCATGTGCCCCAGCCCCCTAACCACTTGCATTGTCATAAAAACACTGCATTCAGAGTACGTGAACTATTAAATATTCTACCCTGTCTTACTTAGTAGTGGGATTTAGAAGGCTTGACCTTTACATTAAATCCTGCTGACTGACTTCCAAAAGTGATAGGAGCACTTTTTTAAGCCACTCATAAAAGAAAAGCTTAAGTGTCCTTCAAGTCTTACAAGAAAGGCAGCAACTAATATTCTGGGCAGAGGGCCAGCATGTACAGCCTTGCCTGTAAAACAGGCAACACAAAAGGAAGCAAGAATCTGGATTGCTCCATTACTGGTTACGTGCATGTTCCACAAAGGGAAAAGCATTGACAAGAGTCTTCCGAAATATTGCTTTTCATTCAGATTTGGCATTTGCAGCTGAACCAGTGTACACAGGACTGCTCTACCATGGCAAGGTAGTGAGAGCCAGAAATTCATACACTCTAATGCTGGTCTTGCCTGTATGCCCAGAGTTCACAATACTTGAACTCTGTTGTCATAGCATGAATTGGGAACGACACAAATTTAGTTCAGCTTGGGGTGATAAGCTCTTAGAACCCTGTTAGAATCCAAAAATGAACCATGCATTTTAGCCAATATAAAATAAGTTTTAAATATAGTTTGGCCAGTATTGTACCAAACAACGTAATAGTTCTGTTTGACAACAATCAAATTTAACAAGTACTACTATTAAGCTCTTGTTTTCAATTAATAATTGCAGCCTTATACCATTGAATCTTTCTACCTCAGATTTGCTCTCTCTCATAAAACTATCGAGGAAATAATCTCAATGAAACCCTGAAGTTTCCCATCTCCATCTATTGGCTACTTTTTAAAACATGCTTCTGATCATGTCATCCAACTGCTATAGGGAACAAGTACTACAGTGTGGGGCAGGGACTAGTGTCTTTTTTCTGAACTGCGAGTTGCTAGCACAGTAATAAACTTGCGATATCAGCAAGTACTATTAATGAGAGAAACATCAATGAAGAGATGACCAAAGGCAGAATAAAAGATGCACATGAAGGTGGAACTAGAAGAGACTTTTAAAATTAAAAGATCGATATTTAAAAAAATATTTAAAAGGCAGCCAGTATTAAGATCTTATCTAATTACTAAAGCCCCATCCTCTACAAATACTTCTGAATGTGCTTACACTTGGCTCAGCTAAATAGTCACAATGAAGTCAACTGGATCACACAATGATAAAATTAAGTATCTGCTCAAGTGTTTGCAGGATTAGTCTAAGAGGAATTTTTCGCTATCGATATGTTTTTCCGTAGGTAAATCAAGTGTTCCTAATAGCCCACTCCAGTAGCGTTTAATTTAAAGCACTCACCACTTTTCTTTTCCTCTCTTTATAGTCAATGTTCATGTCCTTATGTTTCTCCAGAGCCGTCTCTAATTTATTCTTAAGATCAATGGCACACCTTAAACGATCATCACTTATTCCTGCTCGAGTGAACAACTACAAAACAAGAGATATATATTCTTATTATTTCCCCCAAATACCTCCTCAACAAAGAAATTCCTGGTTTTACTCCATTTTAACACAGCATGCAATAAAGCAGTTTGCTACAATGCTAAGTAACCACTAGCAAGTCTAATTATTTAACTATGCCTCTTCAAAATTTTTCACCTACAGAAGTAGGTGTTAATAGCAGTTAGAGAGATACTATATTTATTTCCTTTCAATGTACAAAATTCCCCGCATGAAGCTCTTAAGCAAAGAATGTAGACCGGTGATTTCCAAAGGTAGCGTGCTGTGAAAAATGGGCTGCTGTACTATGGTAGCCCCACACACATCAAGGTCAAAGTCCTGAGTGGACCAGAACTGCGCGTAGGATTGGACCATGGACTAGACCTGGGCTGCGCACCAGTGAGTCAAGTGGGCTGCCAGTTTTAATCTGAACCCCGCCCCCCCCCCCCAAAAGTGTTCCCTAGGTATCAGAATTTTGGGAAACACTGCTGTAGACTATCTAAGGGCACTTCTACACGTGCTCTGGGGATGAGAGGGGCAGCTCCTTAATTAGAGGGGCTCCAAGAACCGCACTAATTAAAGCGCCACCGCATCTTGTGTATCAGCATCCCCATGCTTAAAAATGGCAGCAAGAGTGCTTGAACTAAGATTTAGATAGATAATGCGCCCCCGCCATCATTTTTAAGTGCAGGGACACTGATACATGAGACACAGGAGGCAGCTGGAGTGCGGCAACAGCCCATACTCCAATCGAGTCTGCTCCAATGTGCTGGAATTCCAGCGTGTCGGAGCAGCCTCCGCTCTCATGTATAGGAGTCCATAGGCCCCAAGTTACTTAATGATGATTTGGTATAGTATTTGCTTGCATTCACTTGAGCAAAGTTTGGGTAAGATAAAAATAAGCAGAGAAGAGGGTCATGCCAGAGGACATCATAAGGTGTGAAATATTTTTTAGACAATTTAAAATGGATTGGAATACAATCTAGGCTAAAGGTTGTGCTAAAGTTTCTTAGAGTTCATTTAGTGGTTTCATGTTAGACATGGCTAACTTTAGACATGATATAGTTTAGACAAGGAATAAAAATAGGCATTAATTTAAGTTAAGAGCTGCTTTATAATTTAATTTCAAACCAAGGTAAGAATCCTTTTCCCTAACAGCCTGCCCACCTGTTAGGTTTCTTAAGACTTTAAGGATTTAAGACTAGTTAAATTTGCTTTCAACCATTAATAAGATAGTTATGCATTTGGATACATGTGCAATTTATACATTTTACTTATTTGCTTGATATCCATTACCTGTGCTGTTTGGTCACTTATATCTTATCCGTGTTTTCCCCCAGGATCTGGGGGAACGTTGTTCACCAGAGCGCCCCAAGGGATGACGAAGTCGAACGGTCATAAACTACTGCAAGACCGTTTCAGGCTGGACATAAGGAAGAATTTCTTTACTGTCCGAGGCCCCAAGATCTGGAACAGCCTGCCATCGGAGGTGGTTCAAGCACCTACTCTGAACACCTTCAAGAGCAAATTGGATGCTTATCTTGCTGGGACCCTATGACCCCAGCTGACTTCCTGCCCTTTGGGCAGGGGGCTGGACTCCATATTCTTCCGAGGTCCCTTCCAGCCCTAATGTCTATGAAATCTATTACATTTTGCCACTACTATTTATCTACATTTATGCTTTTGAGTATTTAATTTTGGTGGGGGTGGTTCTTTAAACCTTTCTTTGTTCTCAAAATAATAGCAGAGGGCCAACAAGACTACAGATTATGATGAATTAAGTAATGAGTTTCTCAAGACTTGTCTGACAAAGACAAACTGATTTTTACTTTAAACCTACCACACGAGTCTTATTTAAACTGCACTCTTTAAAAAAAAAAAAAAAGTTTAGTGTATGTACTGTATGATGCGCTGTATAGCATAACAGATACTGAATGATGATTCACTCGAACATAAATTTTGCAAATACTGGTTCCCATCTCTTGTCTAAGTGTTTAATTAGCCAGCTATACCACCTCCCCTCCCTCCAAAACACTTCAAATCTAGACAAACAAGCAAATTGTGTCAGCAGCTCCACAGTAACTGTCCACACATTCATACTTATCTCGCAGCAAGTGAGAGTTTAAACAAGGCAGTTTACTCCCTGAGGAATCAGCGCTAAGTTACAATGGCTTAACTTCGACTTGCTGCTACGTTGCAGCGAGCACTTGGACAGCTACAAAACATCATGTGCTGCACAACAGCTACATTAAATTACTGTAGTTTGTTTTCTCATTCCCCTACACTGGTATGTTCCCCCCCTGCCCAGCTTTTCATTTTCTTTCTTCACTTCTTTACATTTTACTATCTCCTAACAACTTTTGCTCAGTTTTAGTTTGTGTCACATACACACAAACCAAATATTTAATACAGCTGGACACCAAAACTATTTAATTTGCATATTCAAACACTGACTCTGGTGAAACCACACCCAACCACTCTCCAGGGGTGTCCTTGGAGAAGTTTCCTTAATTACGGAGTTAATATTTTTGGGAAGACGAAGGTGGAAAGCATGCAAAAGAGGGGAAAGCTTTTATCATTTTTCTTGGAAGGAATCTGTGTTTTAAGCTCACCTGAATCCACAACTGCACGGAGGGCAAGAATTTATTTACAATAAGTTTATGAGCATCCACAATACTGTTTATTATGGCAGCATTGCCTTCATTCTCACGAACTTTTATATCTGTTGAAAACAGAGGAGAAAAAGGATAGAAGCATGATCTTTACAGCACCCTCACTAAAATAAGTAAGTTGGAAGCATTAGAACGTGAAACTTCCTAACACAGTCAATGTCTTCAGAGATGGTTTTGTAAATCAGGACATTACATACTTCAATGTTAGTGCTAAAAATGCTTCACCAACAGACTAAAGGAAGTTAAAACATAATGCTTTCACTGCGCTGGATAACCCTTAAAAAAGGGCTTCTAAGCAAGCATCACTCAGTTGGTCATAAGAACCGAGAACAATTGTATCATTATTTGTATTGCATTATCACCTAGATCGGAGTGCTCAATCCCTGGCCCATGGTCCAAACCCAGCCCATGAAGCCAGGGCAGCTGACCTATGGGGCTGTCCATGGGTCAGGAAATTTGACAGTGGTAGAACAATGGCAATTAATACCCCTACCCCTCCCCAGCTGCCAAATACCCAAGCTCTACATGACCGGTTGGTGCTGGACCATGACCCCTCCCCACACAGCCGAGTCAGGGCTGGGTCATGCCCCGTCCCATGTGCAGCTGGCTGAGGCAGGCCATAACCACCGACTCGGGTTCACCAGCCAGATCCAGCCACAGATGGGCCAAGCCCCACACCTCCCCAGCCAGCAGTAGCATCTCCCATGGAGTGGAGTGGGGAGGAGAAGGCTGACAATGGGACATGGGCTGCTGGGACCCATCCCCCTCCAGCTGCTTCACTGGCTGCAAGGGACTCTGCTGCAGGCTGGATCAGAGCTTCTCTTAACGTATCCCACGCTGCTACTAGAGTTTTGCAAGAATATTACTATTGACTCTCAATCACTCCATGGTCCACTTTTTTATACATTTTAAAATCTGTGCATCTGACTGTTCCCTCCTTCCTCCTTGTGTTTATTGGCTCTGATATTCTTTTTCTTTTCCCCCAAATAAAATCATCTGAACCCAATCCTTTTTTCTAGTGATTGCTACTCTATCCACCTAAGTATTAACTGCAAACATCAGAGTGTGCTCAATCCCATCTTCCAAGTCACTGAGATACGGAGAACAGCGAGAAGTTACGTGCCTCGCTGGCCATTGGCCCGTGTAATTCCATAAATATAATATACAATAAGGCTGTTGGGCTTTTGAAAGAAATGACCACCAAAAAATCATGAACTAACTGTCCTGGATTTATTACACGTAATTTGACCTCTCATCATGAGATAAAGAAGATAGAATCTTAAAAATCCTCGTCAGCAGCATCCCATTCACTTTTTAAATTAAGGTTAAGGAAGCTTACTGACAATTTAAAAAGGGTTTCCTTCCTAAATAAAATGTGGGCATAAATAACATTATTGGTGTGTGATTGTGAACAATAATTTTAAAGAAGTGAGCACTGAGAAAATGCGGAAGAAACAAAAATATTTACACATTACGGGATTGTAAGCTCTTCAAAGATCTCAAAAGTCATTTACCGTGCCATAGACCCAATCTTAACCTTAATGGCTGATTATTAGAATTTCTAAAGCTCATTCATGTAAAGCAACCTGCAAAGGCCAACTGAAATGCAAACAATAAAGCATTAAGCTTCTGCATTAAACACCTTACCACTTCAGATACAAGCGTTCACAAGTTCTTTTTCTCGTACTGAAACAAGTACCTGTGGAGATTTCCAGGTCAAGGGTATATTTATGAGAGCCAAGCCCGTGACTCCTAACAAATGTTTCATAGTCATCATCACCAGTGGCAGCAGCTAATTCAACTTCTGAACATCCCTCTCCATCTGGTGCCCCCCGGTCACTTCTCTCCAGTTCTTCATTCAGGTCTCCATTTTTATCAGCTTTTAAACATGGTAAAATTGAAGGAAGGTCCTTGCTGCAACAAGGCTGTTCATCATCTATATGCCTGAGAGAAGATGGTTGGCAGTCTGCTAGCTGCATGGATATGGAAGCAGGTTCCTCCTCATTAGCAGTCTTCTCTATGACAGGTTCTAACTCTGCGTCATTCACAGTGAAGTCAAATGGATCCGGCATCAAAAGTCGGAAACAATTCTCCATCTCTGTCAGTGTGTCTTGAATTTCTTTGGACATTTCTGTCAGGACATAACTGTTTTAGAAAATTGCTGTATGAAATATAAAATTCCAACAGTTCAGAAACGGAAGAAATAGTTTCTCCCATGCCCCAGTATAAGGAAACATGCTTACAAATTAAGGACAGATGCCAAAGGGCTGATGCGTATATCTGTACACTGATAAGACATTCTCATACACCCAGGCTTTCTTGCCTCTTCCCCTCCAAAATTTCTCCCCATCAAAATGACACAATATTTTCCAGAGGTATAAAACAGAACCAAGCTCTTCTTCCTTTTTCCCATCCTCCCTAAAATCTCAGAGCATTTATCAAAGATGGCTTTTTAATTGCTTCATAAAATATGAAGTACAGCAGATGGATTGGCAAGGTTATTCTTAGCGATGTCACTGAGTAATAAACTTATACTCCTGAAAAACTTACGCTGCTATGGTTGGTTATCTGTGAATTCATGAGTATCAAGAAAGACGTGTTACAGCTGAAAATTACTTTACAAAATTGCGGAGTCAGTTTAATATTCTGCACCCAGACATGAATGTTCACAGTGAATCCAATGCTCCAAAGCTGTACGGTAAATGTCTGCCTAGCAGCTTCACTCCCACATTTTCAGCCTCATGTTTCAGTTTCATTTGCTGTTGAACCCTTTTGAAGGCCTCCTTCCAAAAAGCACAGATATTCAAAAAGCAGTCAGGCAACTTCAGGTGGACCTGTACTACGTTTAGGATTCCTGTGGTGATATGTGCCAATACCTTTTAAAACACATTGATTTTTACACGCAATACCAAACTGAGAACCTGATTTAGAAAGGTTCTTAAATTATGTAAATTATGGCATATGACTCCAGCCATTGGCTTCAGAGGACTCCCCACTCACTTAAAATTATACACTTCACTGAAACAGGAATTAACCCTTTAGCTCCTCATTCTACATTGACTTCTGGGACTACGATTTACTTTCCTACCCTCTATTACAGGGGTGGGAAAAATGGCTGATGCAGCCAGCAGCCAGACTCCATTTCCCAGCTGCCCCTGCCCGCATGGCTGGGGCTGGTCTCCATGGAGACCCCAGCCACAGCTCTCCGTGAAAGCTCAAGGATTGGGTTGCCATGGAGACCAGCCCTAGCCAAGCTGGCAGGGCACATGGCAGAGCAGGGCATGGGGCTGCTCTGGAGCCACTAGGATCTTGTGATTGGGGCAGCTTGCTCTGGAGCCTGCATGCTCCAGGCAGGAGCGCGCACACATGGGATCGCAGCTCTGCCCCCACTCCAGATCAGGCTGTCACCACTGCAAGAAGCAGGGGCAGAGCTGCGATCCCCTGTATGCGCGCCCTTGCACGCAGCATGCAGGCTACAGATCGCGGCTCTGCCCTGGCTTCCCACATTGCAAGATCCCAGCTGCTCCAGTGCAGCCCCATGCCCTGCTCTGCCACAAGCCCTGCCAGCATAGCTAGGGCTGGTTTCCATGGCAACCCCATCCTTGAGCTGTCACCCGCAGCTGTGGCTGGGGTCTCCATGGAGACTGGCCCCAGCCATGCACAGGGGCAGCTGGGAAATGGAGTCCACTGCTGACCGGAACCAGCCTGTGGGCTGGACTTTGCCCGTCCCTGCTCTATTAGGAATCATAAGATCAAATGCCTGCAGATATACTAGTTTCCACATCTTCCTCTCCAGCCCACCAGTATTTGGGTTTCTTGGATTCTGTCGTTTATATAGCATAGTTCCTTAACGAAGTTTAAAAAATAATTTTATAAAAATCTCACCTGCCATTTCTTCCTGAGCTCTTCTGACCTTTTCTTTGTTAATGTTCTCTAGTCGTTTTCGCTTCTCTTCTTCCCTTCTCCTTTCAGCGAGAGTCCTGGCATTTACATCTTGAAAATCCACCTAAAGAGGAATTGAAGATGTATAATGCTCATTGTAAGAAATATATAGAAAATCCATTTCCTAAGATTTTTATCTGAAAAGAAAAATCCTCTAACATTACTAATCAGATAGAATCTCAAAAGTGTTTCTTTTTATCTCCCCTCCTCCTGGAATCAATAACTACTGTAACTCTGAATGAAATTTTCACTTCTAATAACCGATTGCTGAGAATCAGTGGCTTTCAGAAGGAAAAACAAGATCATAAGCAGCAGAAACCTGAACATCTGCTTTTCTGTGTGGACAGCAAGAAAAGGAATTGCAATTCCTTGCAATTACATTGCAATTTTGGATGCCCTCACCACAGTGGAAAGGTCACGTAAGAACCTCATTGACAGACAGTACGCCAAATTCAGGCTAGGTTGATTTGTAACTCTCAAACCATAGAGCAAAATCCCAATTTACTACTTGCATGTATGTGTGCATGTGTGCCATTTCTCAAATAACTTGGTAAATGAGCAAACCAGCAAAGAACAAAACTATATACTCTGCAACATACAGCTTTGCGGTACTGAGCTTTGCATTTTACACTAGATTTCCTAGCTTCTTTTGGTCTAAAACTTGTTTTATTCTTACTTTGTTTCTTAATTTCTAAAGCAGAAGGCATGATAAGCCAGGCAGGAGCACAGTGACTCAAATACTATTATGATCTGATGAGTTTTAAAGTGTTTGCAGTGAATTTCATCTAAAATCTATTTGAAAATATTCAATATGTAAAAAGATTAAACTCATAAAAATGTAATTATTTCCTAAAATATTTAATTAAAATATTTAACCATTTTCTCTTCTAAAAAGTTGCATTCTTTTCATGGACTAGTATAACAATCACTTTGTAGAAGCTGACTTCTTATCTGTTTAAACCTTTCAATTTAGACCCTTCGGACGCATCCAGACAAGCATGCACATGCTATTTGTGATGCCGCAGACCCATCTGTGGTGCTGCAAACCACACACACCAAACATGCAGACAGTCATTGTGCTGCTAATTTGCAGCATGACGTGGGGGGGTGGGGGCTGACATTGGGAACTCCCAGTGTAAAAAAAACCCACACCAGAAAAGAGTGGGGTGGCACATGTGGCAGCAACAAGTGCCACCTGAAACTGGAGCCTGGCCACCCAGAATCACACTTTAGCTGCCAGGCAGTCTCTGCACACCTGGATCACTGCTGCTGGAGCCCCGGGAAGTCCCCCAAGAGCCGGGGTAAAAATGCTGGGGCCAGCCCAAGTGCTGGCCCCAGCCTCCCCTACTGCACCTGGGACAACTTGCCATGTGCCAGAGCACACATGCCAGGGCTTTCCCTAGGAACAACTAGCAACAAATATGTGCTGCTGCTAGTTGTCCCCAAGGAACGCACAATCCCACTCTTTATGTTTAATTTTGCAGTCACCAAGTATTGTCAGCTAACTTCCATTAACTTTGTCCAAATTGAGGCTGAAAGTGCTAAGCAAACTCACTCTTAGGGACTGTTACATTAAGGGAACTGAGATCTCCCCAGGTGCTAGATTTACTTTATGAACATCTCTGTGCATTTTTAGTCTTATCATAGTAGACATACAGTAAAAAAAATCCTTCAAAATAAATGAAAGATTCTCAGATTTGAATATTTTTATTGCCTCCCCCCCGTGATTGCAAGGACAATAGTAGACTCAAGACACGTTTGTACACAGATGTCAGTACCATACTGCGATTGTTCCATAGGCAGGTAGCAAACAAGTCTCACCTTCTGTTAGTCCAAAAACATCTCTGCTAGAACATGTACCTATACTTGGTTGGCCATGGATCCAAAGACCCATATGTCTCCACATTTTGTCATCCATTCACTTGCTTTTGTAAACTCAATGTGCAGCCAATAGCTACTTACTCACCCCTAGTTCATTATAACAGTTTCAGACCTGCTTAACTCCAGGGAGATGCTTAACTCTGCTGACGTCAAAGGGAGTTAGGTCTAAATTTCTGAGTCTTGTAAGTTTGTGCTAAAATGTCCTACTTTATCAGCACCTCAACTTCCCTGTGTATCAAACAGCCTATTATCTAAAAGAATGGAATGTGGTTTAACTAATATTTGTTGACTTTTTAAAGCTAACTGGCTGTCATAAATACACCAGGAAGTAAATAGTATTCCAATTTTATGGAGAAATTAGCACACAGAGGGACTCCATCAGTTTGATATATAGTCAATGGGAAAAAAGGTGTACAGGTAGAAGGCAGTTTTATGAACTACTCCTGTCAATTTCTGTGGTTTTAAAAATCATTTTTCCTTTTTTCCAAATACTTTTCTTTCATGCATGATCTTTCATACAGCAAGAGAAAAAAAAACAAACTATCCAAGGGAAAGTCATGCAAAGTGATGCAAGATATGCTAAGTAAACATGAAAAAAAAAAAAACAGAAACATTCTCTCTGAACTTTCATTTATAGTGCATCACTTGTGTAATGACAGCAGGATAAGTTTCCATACAAGTATTGTTTTTGTTCGTACAATAATCTAGTGGCACACCCAGAATAAGAACCCAGAACTTCCCAAGTCTTTGTCCCAAGCAGCTGTTTTGCAGCTCTTTCACTTCCTCTGCTTCCTCATTTAACAGCCATCAGGACCAGTCAAACATTGTACTAAGGGGCAGAGGGTATTCTGCTTACTGAGCATCTAGAAATGAACATGCAGTGGTGATGTTCTCTAGTCAGGACAGGCCCAATATACTGCGCCCATCTTCTCCCTCAAGTACATTCCCAGGCTATGCAAGACATTTGGAACATCCCTTTAAGGCTACTTGCAAGCCTGCAGTTTCCAGCTAGCCTGAGTGATCTCTGGGCACAAGCCAGGCATGCTCAGGCCCATCCTGGTTTATTATCAGTGTGCTAACAAGTCTTAAGTGACACCTAGAAACTGAAGGTCATTCTGCCATGCTAAAGTCTCTGAAAAACTGTTAATATAAAGGGGTAAAATGAAAGCATGTTACAGAAGTAGATGTCTTAAAAGTAGTTTTCCAAGAAGTCAGGTAAGGTGGAATAGGATGACATTTGAGGTTTGCCAGTCAGATGCCCAACTGATGGAAAAGGATCTGTACCTTGTTCTCCCCCTTATGTACAGTCTCATCCTTCAGCAGCTTTCAACACCTCCTGCACCAGTCTCACATCATTAGGTAGTGAAAAAAAAAAGCCATAAGAACTAAAATGGAACTAGGCATCATTGTCCACATGCTGGACTTGTGTCAGAGTGCACCAGACCTGGTTTAGACAATATGGGCAGACATTGGAGTCATTACTCTGCCCAGGTATTGGGTTCTGGTACTAGAACCTTTTGCTACTGGGTTATACTTGGATAGTTTTCAGGATTTGGTGTGAAGAGGCATAAACAGTTGAAGTGGTGGAGCTCTTCTTTAAATGCACCCCACATGAAAAACTGCCTCCTGCCTGGGAAAAATTACCAGTATAATTCATAAACCCAGTGTCTTAAGAGTTGGTGCTCGGTTTGGTTTTCCTTACGCAGGTGATGCCTAAAATAGTGTTTGATAGGTGGCTGGGGAAGAGTTCTAACCGAGAGTCAAACCAAGGCCATTACACACACTTTGACAATAAAATAAAATTCAATTCTTATTTTAAATCTTTCCAATTGAACTGGTATAGAACAGTGATTTATCAAGCCTTTCGGGAGAATAAGCAAATACAGTTTACACTAATAACAATCTAAGAAGGACTTGAGATTCCTTTGTTATCAAAAGATTTTTAAAGGTCTTATTATTGGAGAGAGAAAAAAAGTAAGTGTTCTCTTCTGAAAGAAGTTACATGTTACACTGTAGTAAGGAGGATTATTGTGACAGGAACTTTATTTGTTAGTAAGCTGTCAGTATGTATACAAATATTCTCCCTAGCAAGAGTAGTGAGCCAGGTACCTGCAGGTAATTTTACAGAGTACATGTGCATTCATAGTTTACTCGATACTGTTACAGTTTCCAGTTGCAAAGGCTCGCCCATGATAGATGTCTAAAAACTGCAGTTATTACATCTCTCTCACATGGAAGAGTCGACATTTTCTGCCGTGACCTTTGATGGCTGCTGCCTCGCTAACAAGCGGAGAGAACCACAACAGTTAGGAATTAGTTTGAAAGGGGAGGGGAATGCCGCACCAATTGGCCTTTGAGACATTTAGGGAGTCTTAGTCCTTCATTCATCTCCATCCTACCAGCACAATGACATTAGAGAAATTGCAGATTAAGTGTAAACTGGTAGGAGCCAAAATGAGCATTTTTCCCCCCCTCTCTGGGTATCTTAGGAGGTAGTGTCAGTGACTTGCTCAGAGTTGCACAGGATAATCAGCAGTGGGATAGAGAATTGAATCTTGGTCTCCCAGATCCTGGGCTGGCACTTTCACTGCCAGGCCACCTTTCTGACCCTTTTGATTTCTTGGACTAGAGCAAGAGCATATGGGGCTCCTCAAAAGCCAGAAGAGATGAACCTCTGAAAATATTTCAAGAGGCAATGAAATTGCTTGGCTAGAGCAAGTATAAAGGGGTAATAAAAAACAAAAAAAAAAGCGAGTAGAAAATAAGGTCTAACTAGCCCAGCATCTAGTCAATTTTCAGAAGTGATGGGTTCTGGATCAGATCCTAGGGAGCCTACCTTCTAGAAGTGGCAATGTTTTAGAAGTGAAGACATGATCTTGTAAGTTAGAAAGAGCTTTAGAACCGATTACTTCAACATATCACCTTGAATTACACCCAGAAACAGCATGGAAGCCAATACAGGGCATAGATAATGCATGACCCTGTGAGGCATCTTGCAAAAACTAGGTCTGCACATTTAGTTAACCACAGTTGAGTTGTTCCAGGTATAGCCTCCTATAGTAGGGCAGGTTGCAATAATCCAGGAACAAGGCGACAGAAATTGCATTCTTGCATACTGGACAGCCTTCTGCTGCTTTTAATCAGTCATACCCAAGCAGCTGGTGAGCCCGTTACTGAAGTCAGTAAGTGTCTAAAGTTTAGACACTTACTGACTTCAGTGACAGGGGCTCACCAGCTGCTTGGCTATGACTCTAAAGTGACCTATGCCAATTCTTCTGGTTACTTCTCCAAGTTTGAAAATTAGCTTAGTAATATTCAAATAAAAAAGGTCAAGCAGCCAACTCCATATCATTTACCATAGAAGTTATATCAGACTACACAAGTACTCTCTCTCATCTGGTATTATGTCAGACCAATAGTGACCAAGTACAGCTGTTTCAGAGAATGCTACAAGAAACTTTGCAGTACACAAGTCATGTGATTCAGTCACTGGAAAGAAAGTTTCCTACTAACCATCCATAGTTAGAGGGCAGGACTTACTTTTAGAGAAAAGGATCTGTGCACATGGATTTGTTTGTAGCATGTTGTACTTAGTGTGGATGTTGGATTAGTGACAGTGAGACTACAGGACAGTTGTCAATTAAGCAAAAACACAAATTACTGTGCATTTGCCATATGTTGGTTCCATTAAATGCATGAGTTCTGGTAAGGTATCCAAGTTGTAGCCATATTGGTACCGAGGCAAAAAGAATAAAAAAACACCTCAGAAAAAAAAAAAAAGAGGTGGTATCTTTTGTTACACCAAGCAGGTATTTGCAAACAAGTTATTTTAATCTACTTGCAAGCTTTCAGGCACACACACCCTTTAATCAGGCAGAGAAGAGAGCAGAGATTGGCAAACTCTTATAAGGTAAAAAGACTTACAACCTCTCTCTGTTCCTAACCTGGACAAAATAAACTATTCTAAACAGAAGATTTTGTCACTTTCAGCTCTCCTGCAAGATATCAATTTTCATTTCTACCAAAGAGAACTTTTTACAATCTCTGCTCTCTCCTATGCACTCAAGAAGCTTGCAAATAAATAAAAGTAACTTGTTTGCAAACATCTAGCTGGTCTAATAGACTAAAAAAAATAATCACCTCTTCCACAGTTTTGAGTTCTAGTAAATAGCAGCTCTTCAGAAGACTTTATACATGCCAGTTATTCTCTTGGCCTATACTGCAACGCTTATGTCTGCTGTATCAATTTAAAGAAAAACAAAAAAAAAAAAAAAAACCTTAAAAATTTGTCACATTTACCTGATGACTTTTTTTTTTAAAAAGATAATTTAATTCTCTCATCATTTATTCGATTTCTTGTAAATCCTAAAACTCTGATTTTTTGCTATTACTGAACATTGATCTAAAGTCCATATGAGAACTATCACAGTCCATGCATATATATATATGGAGCTGTACTATTGCCACAGCACAGAAGAAAAACAACATGGAGAATACAGAGTCCACTTCTGATGCTTGGAACTAGAGAAAGATGTATATGTTGGAAAGAGTTCAAAACAGACCATATCTGTCTGGAAACCTTGCTCCACAGTAAAACTAAGAAGAACCCTACTTTCATTAACCCAAGAGAAGAAGTTTAAGAAGTATGAATGAATTTGTTCAAGTATAGAAGTGAGAATCAGATCTTAAGAAAAGAAGGCTCGGTCACCTAAGGCAACATAAAAAAAAGATGGTGTGGAAGGAAGGGGAAAACTAGCTAAGCTTGGACTAGAAGTGATAGTGCTATTTTTTTTTTTTTTAAAAGCAAAAATAGGCAGATAAATAACCCTGCCTCCCACAACTCCCCTACCCCCCCAAATTTATCCCATTGAGTATTAGTCAAATAATTTGACTTTGATTTTCCATCCAAAAGACAAAGGAAATGCCAAATATTACAGTTCATCCAGAAGTCACAGGTGTCCACAGTGGCATTTAGGCATCTCTCCCAAACTGAAGCAACTGGTTTAAAACCTCAGATGGAAGAACTGTTTGAGCATGTATTACTTTGAATTTGTCTGCCTTCACGTTATCTATTCAGCCAGTTTGAGCAAATCCTACTGAAGTGCCTCCCAGTCTTCTCTGGGAAGAAGAGAACTTAGGCTTTTGAAATATTTATATTAGGTTCTCTCACAAGATACCTTTTTTGTGCTGAGATTTGTATGAACTGGTAGTAAACTACACTGTCCCTGCAACTGAATAAGTGTATGATTGTGCTAGACTTCCCCTGCTTTTCTAGCTGCCTCCCCCATAGAATCAGTGTCAGGGACAAGAAAGAGACCACCACATCAAGAACAAAAGTATTGGTGTCAGTCATTCATTTGTGAATGACTTCACAGTCTTACAAAAGCTTTAGAAGACTGAAATTAGCTCCAAGTGTTGCAACAAGAGGAAGAAAATCCTATACCCTCCTCATCTGAAAAGACAAGATAAGAAACTATTCCCGTGTTACATACTTCTGACTTAATAAATGGAGCACTCTACCTGGAGATTTTGTAAAGAAGAGCTGTGAACAGCATGGAAAAGATTTAGAATAGAAATAAATTCTTTTAGCTTTGGTTAATGTCGTCCATAGCCAAGATTAAATACTTACAGCTGACTGAAGACAAAAGTACCATGTAGCTTCCAAAAAGAAAAAAAGTGCAGATTACCCTTGTTTTGCACCTCATTGTTTTTTTCCAAGGAAAGGACCTAAGAAATAAACGTGGGAAAGCAAACATGCATATTACCTTCTTATTCTGTTTTAAGAAATGGTATCCCAGGGAAAGCATCTTGTAGGCCTCTCCATATTTCTCATGCCAGTCTTGTACTGATTTAATGGCTGCTTTTTTCAGTTTGTGTGCTACTTCTTTTGGCGGGGGAAGAGGCTGCTCATGGTCTGTTTCCACTGTGAGTTCCAAGAACTCTTGAAAATTTGAAATAATTAATGCTCTGAACTGATGTGACCGTGTGAACAACTCATCCACAATTTGAAAAGCTGAGAAACGTATCTCAGCATGTTCTTTGTTCAGCTGTGTCATGAGTAGATGATATGCATGGTTAATATGTTCATCTGAAGACCTTTTGAAAAGTAAAAACACCAAACAAGAACACCCATGAGTGCAGTCAACAGAAAGCCAAAGTTTTGTCTTTTCATTTATTCAATGTTTAATTTAAAAAACCATAAGAAAGCTTCTGTTTTAACATCAGGTTGAAATATACACTCAGGGAAAAAAAAAAGTTAAGCCCTGGAAGATTAAAGAGGTAGGCTTCACTAAATTTTTGGTGCATACCCACCAACAGTGCATTTTACTAGTTTCCCCAAACCACTAGAAGCAATAATTCAAGTGATCACTTCCTTAATCAACAGGTAGAAGGAGGGACAGAGACTCATAAGGCCAGATCTGTGCATCAGTGTAACCTATCCAACTTGGCCAGCATACAACACTCTACTTTAGACAGGTCTTTGCCCATCTATACTGGTTTAAAGAAAGTAGAGATGGTGTAAACCCCTACTCCAATGTAAAATGTCAGAATAATACTGTACTGGATTCTAATAACCACACCACAAATTATACTAGTGTAGGTGCATCTGTCCATTTCTACCCCAGGATAACAACTAGCTCTGTGCAAACCCTCATTTACTGTACTGTTCTTACTGTACCACCCCCATTTACTGCAAGACAACTACTCTGGAGACGCTGTTTTTCTGCCTACTCTGGATCCCAGTGAAGTTTACGTCATTATACAGGACTAAGGTGTCACCTGTCCAGGTCTTAAAGATTAGAACAGCCTGATGCAAGTATGTTCCTCCAACAAAAAGTGTAACCAGTTGTCATACTTGCAAATTTTCTTGAATTCTTTCATCTTCTCTAGATTCAGTTGGGTTTCTCCTGAGGTTGTGAGCTCTTCAACCAGCTGGGAGAGCTTTTGGTCCATCTCTGGAAACATGAAAGATTAAAAAAAAAAAGTTAGCAACAGGTTAAAAACCCCCACATACACCATCTTAATTTAATAGTAAGGCTGGATATCAACATAACAGATTTATTACACTATATTTAAAAACAGCCCTGCCAAATATACTTGCTATTTTACTATAATACCTGAACCACTACTTGCACTGTATCCTGATCAGTCCAACTTTTACTATAACACTATAAGCTTTGAAGCAGACAGATTTGTCCAGATCCAAACAGAAGAAGAGCTGCGCTGTCTGCAAGAGAGCGGCCAAGTTAAATGCTTGTTGCTTTTCCAGAGCAGGTACAGAAGTGAAAAGCAATCGCTCTGTCCACTTGCACCTGATGAATTAACTGGTGCACGTGGATGCTTGTCACATGAAACCTGCTTGGATGCTCACCTCTGTGGGACCCACCCCACAAAATAAGGCACTTGCTCCCCTTCCTCCTTCCACCCACTCCTAAGGTAAAATATATATAAACAGCATGAGCAGGGAGGCAGCCTAGGCACCCTCCAGAAATGACAAGAACTTTCAGGCAGCTTTAACAATCCACTTTGCTTCACCAGCACCGCCCCGTTGTTTTCAGCTCAATACAGCGCCAACCTGAGACTGAGGAAGGCCCGGCAGCGCTACCACTTCACCCAGAAGGCCCCCGATGCCCCACCACGGATGAACAGACCGGGTCACCCCTCAGCGCCCCTTTGCTCAGGGCAACCTCCCTCAGCATGCCCAGGTCCGGTGCATTTCACTGGTGTATTTCATAATGTATGAAATACATGCGTTTCATTGGTGTGATATCTTCAGGAGACACAAGACGAGACCATCCTGCTCCCTCCAGTTAAGCGCTTCCCTGTCGTTTGCTATTCGAAACCTAGCGGCATTTTCTCTCCAGAAAGTTTTTTCTTAACCCCTTTTTAGGGCGGGAAGAAGCACTAGTTGCGGTGACATTCACACGCAGGGGGTGGCGAGGCCCTCAGGAGCGCTTTTAACATTTAACAATCCTCCCACCGCCCCAGCACCAGCCCCCACACGTGACAAGCCTCCGCCCCGGGGCCCCGGGAGTCCCTGGCCTGGCCTGGCCTAGCCTAGACCGGCCCGGCCCCGCGCCGCCGCCGCTCACCTGGGTGGGTACGCCCGCCCCACCTCACCTCA